ATAAGCTATGGCTAGATACGTGGACTTCACCAGATGGAATACACAGGAATTGGATTGATTACAACTGTGGCAAGAGGCCACGGAGACATTCAGTATCTTCAGCAAAAACAAAGCCAGGAGCTGACCGTGGAACAGACCATGAACTACTCATATGCACATTCAAGTTGAAGTTGACGACAATTAAAATAAGTCCATGAGAGCCAAAATATGACTTTCATTAATACCCCTCCTGAATTTAGAGACCATTTAAAGAACAGATTTGATGCACTGAACACCAATGACAGAAAACCAGAGGAGTTGTAGGGGTGACATCAAGAACATCATCCATGAAGAAAGCAAGAGGTTATTAAAAAGACAAGAAAGGAAGAAAAGACCAAAATGTATGTCAGAAGAGACTCTGAAACTTGCCCTTGAACGGAGAGTAGCTAAAGCAAATGGAAGAAATGACAAGATAAAAGAGCTGAACAACAGCAGATTTCAAAGAGCAGCTCAAGAAGACAAAGCCAATCACTATAATGAAATGTGCAAAGACCTGGAGTTAGAAAACCAAAGGGAAGAACACGTTCAGCAGTTCACAAGCTGAAAGAACTGAAGAAAAAATTTAAGCCTCAAGTTGCAATATAGAAAGATTCTATGGCCAAAATATAGAATGATGCAGGAAACATCAAAAGAAGATGGAAGGAATACAGAGTGTTACTGTACCAAAAAGAATTGGTCGATGTTCATCCATTTTGGGAGGTGGCATATGATCAAAAGCTAGTATTGAAGAAAGAAGTCAAAGCTGCAGTGAATGAATTGGTAAAGAACAAGGCTCCAGGAACTGATGGAATACCCACTGAGATGTTTCAACAAAGGGATGTTCCGTTGGAGGCACTCACTTGGCTATGCTAAGAGATTTGGAAGACAGCTACCTGGCCAACTGACTGGGAGCTACCTGGCCAACTGACTGGGAGAGATCCATATCTGTACCCATTCCAAAGAAAGGTGATCCCATGGATTGTGGAAATTATTAAGCAATATCATTAATATCACATGCAAGTAAAATCTTACTAAAGATAATTCAAAAACAGCTGCAGCAGTATACTGACAGAGCATTTCCAGAAATACAAGCTGGATTCAGAAGAGAACACGGAATGAGGGATATCACTGCTAATGTCAGATGGATCTTGGCTGAAAGCAAAGAATACCAGAAAGATGTTTACTTGTATTTTATTGACTATGCAAAAGTATTCGATTATGTGGATCATAACAAATTATGGATAACATTGAGAAGAATGGGAATTCCAAAACACTTGATTGTACTTATGAGGAACTTGTACATAGATCAGGAAGCTGTCACTAGAATAGACAAGGGGATATTGCATACTTTAAGATCAAGAAGGGAGTGCGTTAAGGTTGTACCTTTTACCGTACTTATTCAACTTGCATGCTGAACAAATTAATCCGATAAACTGGATTATATGAAGAAGGAGGTGGCATCAGGATTGGAGGAAGGCTCATTAACAACTTGAGATATGCAGATTACACAACTTTGCATGGTGAAAGTGAAGATGACTTGAAGCACTTATCGACGAAGATTAAAGACTACAGTCTGAGGTATGGATTATACTTACCTCAGAAAACAAAAATCTTCACAACTGATCCAATAAACAGCATCCCAATAAATGGAGAAAAGACCGAAGTTGTTAAAGATTCCCTATTACTTGCTTCTACAATCAACACCAATGGAAGCAGCAGTGAAGATATTAGACGACACATGGCACTGGGCAAATCTGCTGCAAAAGATCTCTTTTAAGTGCTGAAGAGCAAAGATGTCTCCTTGAAAACTAAGAAGTGCCTAACCCAAGACATGGTATTTTCAATCACCTCCTATGCATGTGAGAGCTGGACAATGAATAAGAAAGACCTAAGAAGAGTTGATGCTTTTGAGTTGTGGTGCTGGGGAAGAATGCTAAGAGTACCATGGTCTGCTAAAAGGACTAACAAATATGTCCTGGAAGAAGTGCAGCCAGATTGCTCCTTGGAAGTGAGAATGGCCAGACTTCGTCTCACCTACTTTGGTCATGTTGTCAGAAGGAATCATTCCCTGGAGAAGGATATCATGCTTGGTAAAACGGAGGGTCAATGAAGAAGGGAAAGGCCCTCAACAAGATGGATTAACACGTGGCTGCAATGATGAGCTCAGGCATAGCAAGGATCATGAGGTTGGCACAAGACTGGGCAGTGTTTCGTCCTGCTGTGCAGAGGGTCGCTATGAGTCAGAGACGACTCAACAGCACCAAACAACAACTACAACGACACAGGGAAAGCTGGACAAAGAAAATGAGTATTCAAGCTCCCTAATCTAGTCAGAACTACAATAATATTAAGAAGCATATAAGTCTCATGCCTTTCAGTCAAATATCACCTGTTAATCAAGTATCAAAGTTGACCAGCAATACTGAAAAAATGGTAATTCAACAACAGTATGTCTTACCAATATGGAGTACCAATGAAAGATTTTCTCTTTGCAATGGTTGCTGTTATTTTTGCAGCCACACCAAAGTCAGCTGGTAGGAAAAAATAAAATGGGAAATTTTAGTTCTTGTCAATAAAACAAGCAATTTATCTTAGTGTCTCCTTTAGTCATGACATGATTGATAATTCAGATATTAATGGTAGGAAATGTACACAAGTTGAGTATTTAAATCTCCCCTTGCTTGGTTCACAACATACTCATTAAAAGAGAATTTATTGGCATTTTACTAGAATGAAAATGTACTTTATTAAAAACAAAATTATTAAAACTACTCTTATTACAAGCACATTGACATTATTTTGGTGAAAAAAAACAAGAAAGAATCAATACACATGGCTGACACAGTCACCTGATTACTTTTATCCTGACTCAGGTTAGCATTTTTATGCTTTAAAAGTCTTTATTTTCTATGTGTAACTTTTTTTGGTTGTTATTACATAAGACTGTAAAATAATTAAATACATTTTACTTTATTTGTCATTTAACAAACCAGGGGATTTTTCTCTTTCATATTACTAGTAAGTATTAATTTGGATGACCAAATGATGTTCTATATGTGAATTTAGCACAGTTTAGCAGTTTTTCTATTATTAGACCTATGATTGTATTTTATTTTTTATTTTAAATAATGGTATGATTAATACCTCTGTGAAAATGGATTTTTCATCTTTAAGATTAATTTCCATAAAGTATGTCTCATGAGTAGAATTAATGGGTCAAAAGATGAAAATTATTGTGGCTCTTGATATGAATATTAAATGGATTTAATACTTACTTTATGAGATTGAGATAACATACCTAATTTTACATCACCATGGTCTGTCAATAAAATATTTGCACCCTAAAACAAAAATACAAACACTAGTCACTTAGCATCATAAAATTTCTTCAAATAGGATTAGAAAATTAAACATGTTAAATGAACTTACTTTTATATCTCTATGCATTTTGCCTTTAGTATGTAAATAGGCAAGACCCTAAAGTTAAAAAAAAGTATGCATTAACAAAACTGCAAACTGGAATAATGATTAATTAAAGCAGAGACTCTTAGAGTAACAAAAAAACTCTTAGCTTTTTTGGGTTTTAAATAGTTTTATTGAGGAATAAATGACAAACAATAAAACTACACATATTTAAAGTAGGTTATAAGTCTAGCAAATATGTACACCATGAAAAACAATCAAGATAATGAACATAACCATCAACCCCAAGTTTCCTCACACCCTTTAATAATTCCTCCCATCTTCCCTCATCCCCGCCCCCAGCAAACACTGATCCATTTTTTGTTATTATACATCAGTCTGCATTTTCTCAAGTTTTATGCTAAATGAAATCATACAGTACGTATTCTTTTTTTTTGTCTGGTTTCTTTCATTCACAATAATTAATTCATGTTAATATGTGTATCAACAGTTCATTCTTCTAAATGGATGGTGCCTGGCTACCATTATTGAACATTTTGATCAGGGACCCAATAGATTTTGATGAAAAGGAGAAAAACTGTGGAAAGGAACTTCAAATTCTTAATGAGAACCATACTTAATGAACACATTGAGACTGGAGAAATCCTTGAATCTAATGCCTGGAAATTATCTCTTTTTCCCTTACATGTAGGAACATACAACAATTCAACAATTTCTACATGTAAAATTCAGTATCATTGATTATATTCAAGTTGTGTAAACTATTCTCACTCTCCTTTTCCAAGCTGTTCCTCACCCATTAACATAAACTCTTGCCCCCTAAGTTTCTTATCTAATCTTTTGAGATGCTATTGTCTATACGATCCCATATGGATAAATCTTAAAAGGTGAACATTCTTTGCTAGTTAAGCTAAACGACTGTTTGGTTTTAAGAAGACTTCAGAGGATATTTTTGGTTTTAGGTTTAAAGATTATCTCAGGACAATAGTTTCAGTGCTTTATCTAGGCTCTAGGGCTCCAGAAAATTTGGTTCCCATAGGAATTTGAAATTCTATTTTGTATTCCCTCCCTTTAGATCAAGTATTATGCTACAGAATTTTTTTAATCAAAATATTCAGTAATGATAGCTGGGCATCCTACAGTTCCTCTGGTCTAATGGCAAAGGAAGCAGTTGTTCATGGAGGCAATTAGCCACATATTCCATATCCTCCTCCTATTCCTGGCTCTCCTCCTTCTTCTGTTACTCTAGACAAATAGAAACCAATTGATGTACTGTGGATGGCTGCTCGCAAGCTTTGAAGAACCTGGAAAACTAACTTTTAGGATACAGTGAACTAGGAAGTAGAATAGAAGCACTAAACACATTAAAACAATTACCGTATTTTTATGTAAATAACATGGACGTTTTAAGGGGTTTTTTTGCCAACTGCCTCCTTCCCTGTGAGGTATTTTCATAAGCATATGACATAATTTTTTTCCCACCTACACCTAGACACTCTTATAGCACATACAAATACACATGTAGAAACACTGTCTGCTAACTCTATACATGGTCTGGTCATGGACACACTACCCCCTGCCTAGACATACCTGCTTGTTCAGTCTGTCCACCCATCTATCCACCCATGGATCAATGCTTGCCATCACTGACAACACAGCACTGTACACCAAATGGGCTCATCTTTGTTGTCAGTACCTTACATGTTCTTGTCTTCCTCTTCTTCAATGCCATCATGTTACTCACTCACTTTTGATATACTGCCCCTCCCCTTAACCCAAATCAATAGTTGTGTCTACCTATCTAGCAGTGTTCCCTCTCCTCCCCTCCCCTCCCACCCTTGGTGACCAACAAAGAAAGTTGCATTCCATATATAGCCTTTCTTGATTTTTTACAATAATGAACTAATAGAATATCTGTCCTTCTGTGATTGACTTATTTCACTCAGCATAATGTCCTCCAAGTTCATCCATGTTATGTAGTGTTCTGTAGATTCTACAAGATTTAGTGTTGCGGAGTATTCTATTGTATGTATATACTATAGTTTGCTTATCCATTCTTCTGTTGATGGGCATGTAGGTTGTTTCCATCTTTTTGTTATTGTAAATAGTGCTGCAATGAACATGGGGTGTGCATATATCTGTCCTTGTCCTGCCTGGCTCTCTCACTTCTTTATGATTATATACCTAGTAATGGGGTCATGAGCTCTGGCAGTATAGTGAATAAGGTATGTGACTACTAACCAGAAGGCTGGCGGTTCAAACCCACCAGCCACTCCTCGGAAGGAAGGCTGGGCAATCTACTTCCGTAGTGATACCACCTCAGAAATCCAAGGAGGGGTTGCTGAGTCGGGTTCGACTTGATGGCAGTGAGTAATGGGGTCACTGGATCAAATGGTATTTATAATTCCAACTTTTTAAGGAATTGCCATACTGCTTTCCACAGTGGCTGTATCATTTTACAGTCCTATCAGCAGTGTATGAGAGTCCCAATCTCTCCATATCTCCTCAGCATTGTTATTTTCTGTTTTGTTGAACTCTTCTATTAGTGCTGGGGTCTCTGCCATAAATTAGGGTCCCTAAATTTACCTCTATTTTTTCCTTGAGGAACTTTATAGTTTTATGCTTCACATTTAAGTCTTTCATCCATATGGAGCTAGTTTTTGTGTATGGTGTCAGTCTTCTGTCATTTTTCTGCATATGGATATCCAGTTTTGCCAGCACATGTGTTAAACAGACACTCTCTTTCTTATTTAATGGATTTCAGCCCTCTGTAAAAAATCAATGGATCTATTTCTGGATTCTCAATTCTATTCCACTGGTCTATGT